AAAAAAAAAGATTGGATGAACCTAGAGAAGCAGCGATAGGAGTTGCAACGTTGTCTGGATTAATATTGTATTTTCTGGAAAAAATAACGACTAAAGCCATAAGTATACTAAGAATTAGTGAAGCACAGCAAGCTGTCGCCAATGAAGATGCACATAAGAGGGCAGCGTGAGACCAGTCAAGCTGAAAAGTGTTTCTAAGCACACTTGAAACATGCTCGAACCATAATTCTCTAAGAAAACTTCTCCTGTACAACACTTTCTTGACGTCAAAAAATGACCAGAAAGACGCTATCGTTCAGGTCATAGGGAATGCACTAGTTTAGTTAGTTGCTTTCTTCGAATTAGTTTTGAATACGGTCAACTGATACACTAGAAAAGTGATCAAAGAAACCTATACCTCTCCACGCGGGATCCATGCCAAAACCATAGCAAATGCCGAAGCAAGGAAGGCAATAACTGTTGCTTGAACTTGAATAAGAGCCAAGTTTGATAGAACTACCTCCTTCCGCTGAACGGAATTGTCTAAGTGACCCAAATTAGCCTAAAGTAAAAGCCTTTAACGTATTCAATATAAGGAGGAAGTTTGAAAAACACTGACTAGTGTTGAAAGTCGACTGGCCAAGGTCATTTCTAAATTTCCCTTTAGTCCTAAAAGCGCAGGAACAAGTATGAAAATTTCCGGGACTTCCTTGAATAGCTTCCAGTGTTGCACGATGTCAAGCACTACTCCAGCACAAACCATTCCCATACCAGCAATTGAGAAAGGAAACACCACCTTAAACACGATATTACAGAGACAACTTCAAACAGTGAGAACTGTGAAACACACAGCGCCTCCTCTCAATTTTGTTCCTCTGGTTGTAAGCATATGGCCAAAAACTTTCAAACAAAAGTTTTCGGGCCGTTATATCCGAACAACATATTACCCTAGACGACAATATTACTGTAAAGTACGATAGCTATCAGTAGCCATGCACTAAAAATGCCTTGCGTAGAGCGGTTAATTGGTAATAGAATTTGAAGACAATATTGGACTTGTCCCGATATTTCTTAAGGTAAAACAAGGAAGATCTACAGCCTAGCCATTGTCTTTGCAAAAAATCATTAAGTCGAATAGAAAGAAATTCGAATCCATCATACTAATAGATAGCAATTACCTACACGAGCACCAACTTTCGGTTTGCTATGTTACTTGTATTTAGCTGAAACCCTCGTCCAAACATGTTGGGTGCACGTACACAAATAAAGAAGCTAAACGTAACCGCATTGTTGCTCTTAAGATCCTCACTAAATATGGTGATTTCCCGGTAAATTTGGTTTTAAAGCAGTTTGCAAGACATTTGAAGCTCCTTCTCGCTTCTGTTTAAGACCGTTGTAGCATAAATTCGTGCGGTATCTTGTAATGGCGAAAATTATATTAAAACAATTGAAAAACCTTTTGAACTGTAAACGACGAACTATGTAATAGAATGGAATATCAATAAATAATTAGACATGAAAAATCTATTAAGATGGAATATGGCTGCAACTTTGCGCCGAATTAAAAAAAAAAACATTCAGAGCCCTCTTTAGTTAAATTTCACGTTGCTTTGACATCTCGATCAACGGAAGAAAAGAAGTTTAGATTCCCATTTATCCATCATCTGCTTTAATGACCTTCATTTAGAAGCTAAATCAACCTAAAGAAATTTTTGCAGAGGGAAATAATAAAAATACGTCAAAACATTTGATTTCCTAAGTTTTCAAAGAAAGGAAGAGCATAAATCCATTCGAGAACTTACTACATCTTACAGTCTATCAGATGTATGCGTACAAAAAAATTCTGACCCTTTATCTTGGAAGATTTTATGGTGGGTGCCAGGGGTCTCGCTCCAAAATAATTCGTCAATTTCCACTTGCCATTTATTGCTAGTTACACAAAGCTACTTGGCTCGCTGTTGATTTGGACATGTGCAACTTGATGTTCTTACTACATCTCTAGGCAGTGCTTTGCCCGTGACTCGACTATATGTGGTTAGCTAACAAAAGTCATTCGATCGGCTTGGAAGCCCATTATTTCTGCAGCCTAGCGCAACTTCTCAAAACAGCTTAGAAGGTAGAGAATGCAAGATTATCCCGCATTTAAACATCCAAAATTCACACTGTAGTATCCAACTTCACGCATAATGTGAAGATAAGATGAAGAAAGTACAGCTTCATTACTTTCAGCGATTCACGAAAAATTTGTTTCTAAAGTAATCCTCACATAAGCTATTCTGAAACGATATTTTGAACGCCATAACCAACGTTAAGTTAATACTAGTTAGTTATTACTGTAACAAAAGAGTTTTCAGGAACAACTTAACATGACCACTCTGAGCAGCAAGGCTCCATCCATATGTGACTATTGGTAGCCATAGCTTGCAATGGCTTCCACGCATAAGGAGCATACTGATTACCGCGGCTTCTTCTGGCGTTTGACGCTGTCGCGATTGGGAACCGCCATAGCTGGCGATGTCGTTGACGGCCGGTCCTACGGGTTCGCCGGCGTTAGCGAAAATCGTCGCAGCTGGTTCTTTCTGGATGGACTGCTTGCGACGTCAAGCGGCGTTTTGCCGCGCTTTTGCAATCTTTTGTTTCTCTTTCGGCAAATAAATAATATGACAAAAGGATAGACGAAAATGAGTTCAATCAGTCAGGAAATTGTGTTGATTATAACATGTTTCATGGCTGTGGAAATTATCTTTTAGTTTATGACTTTTGGTTGGTTGAAATAGGAAAAGCTTTCATAGAACATAAGAAAACGGAATAATGCGTGTGACCTTATACTGCGATACCACTTTATTAGAAGTTGCCTAAAACAAGCCTCAAAAATGTAGACGTTACTATTGACTATTGGGCTTTGCTAATGCAAACGCACTTATCAACCTTTTGCCCGTCAATTTTGTTTGCTTTATTCTAAGCTATGGGCATTTGGAGTTATATTGAAGCCCTTTGTTACAAAACCTTTTTTTTTGTTTTTAGTTCAAATCATAGTGTTTCGAACAAATTTCGATCAAGAAGTACTCAACACTTTCGTGTGTAGAATTTCGAGTCAAACTCCCACCCAATGCACCCATTTTGACGCCTCTGACGCCAGAAGAAATCAACGCTCAGCGATGCCCATGCCGGCCATACCTCTTGTCGCCAGGTATAGATGGAGCCTAATGGATAGCATAAAAACGTACTTGGAAAAATAAGAGGTAGCTTGATTCGGGACTAGAAGTGCCGAGATGATCTACGTCTCGGCTATTGTGCACGACGGGAGCAACTTCGTCATGGTAGGATCGCTTGGCACTGGAAATTTTTTGACCAACTCAAGGAGATATATGATAAAAGAACCTACTCGTCGCTAGGTGGGACCTCTGCCTCAAACCTCTCATATGGTGGGTCTGCACCCCCAGCCATTGGCACGTTTGGAATTTCGCTTGTGAAGGGTGTTAGTTGTTATACTTGAGCTATTTCTGCCACCAACTTCTAAAAGGCGAATTGGTACGATTATATATATCATCAATAAGACCATAATAGACGACCAACGTGTCACCTGAATAAAGTATAGAACTGGAATAACCATATTTATCTATATCAACGAAATTGATAGTAAAACAAATAAACATCAACGTTCAGTAACCACATAAGAGAAGTAAATATCAAGTCACATCAGCAATAAAATTTACGGCCTGTTCTTCTTTTTATCCTCATTCGACTTAACAGCGAAAAACGATTCTCTATCGGCTGGTTCAATATTATTTTCTGTGGCGAATTGAACCAGACATCGCTTCATGGCGTAGGCATCTTCACCATCAGCATAATATCTGAAAAGCTGACGCAATAGAAAAAATGAGATGTGGTGCTGAGGAGTTTTCATATTACTCATTCTGCTTTTTCCCAAAGCGATGCAAACTTAAGTACGTGAAACACGCTCTATTATACCTTATCTTCTGCTCCCTCAATCTTTTTGCCAAAAGCAAGGACCATTCAAAATATGCGTAGAGAAATTCTATTCAAAAAAAA